TGACATGGAGGCGATGGTGTGAGTAAGAAATGAAAGTTTCTGAGCGGTTGTGGATCCAGGTTGAAAAGATTGTGGAGAAGAGAGTGAAATGGTGATGTGCTACTGAAGTCGTATTTTCTACTAAGAACCCAAGGGACAAATAATAATTATAGCACCAATGAAATGCTATGAAATCTTATGCGTTCAAATAAACCAAAAAGCTGTTTGAACATGAAAAATGCTGAACTGTACAGCGAATTTAAATGTCAGTTTATGCTAGTTTTTTTCTAAAACGGTAAGTTACTTAGGTTTGTTGAAGGTACCTCAATTAAATTTCACCCAACTGGTAAACTCTATCCCTACTCAACAAACTGGTAAACTCTATCTCTAGTAAGGGTTATAGTGAGAATTATTGACTTTTCATGTCAGCTTAGTCATCTGTGCTGGTAGTAGCGTGCACAGCTTCAGTAGATAAATCTTACTGTTTCACTTTAATCTAATTTAACTCACTGGTTCAGAAAACCGTCTCAGTGATAACTGCATAAAATTTCCAGATAAGATTTATGGAGAGGGCCAAAGAAAGACAACATACTTGTTCAACAGCCTACTACTCCCATTTGCCGTCTAACAAATATTAGTTTGTTATATTTGGTATTATTGGGCTGAGATATTGCGTAATATTTTTACCCAATGTTTTCATGATGAATTTCAATATTATGCTTGTATATGCTTGTACAGAAACTAAAACGGGAACTGTATATTACTTGGGGTTAGTGATACAAGTGAATTTGAAATCCAGTATCGGTCTGTCTAATTGTACTTGGAACTATCGATTTGAATGTTAGATCGATCAAAACTAGGCTTCTGAGATATATTAGCTAGCTCTATGGAGCTGAAGACTTACAGGAATGAACTGATGAGGATTTGTTCGTATGTATTATGTTTGTATGGAGGTACGGATATTGAATTCGAATTTCACTGAGAAAATTCATTCACTGATATGAAAGTACAACCAGCTAATAACTGCCTACTACGATATAAATCCTCCATTCTAATTTGAGTGCTAAGCATAATCGGGTAGTGTCAAACTATAATCAGAAACAGTATCAAATGATTCGTACAGGAACTCCGTACTCCAACTAAAATATCTTTTTTACTTTCCACTAAACAGTTCTAATGTTACTTAAGATTGTACTCATTATTATAATGAATACTTGTTATGCGCACACTTAATTATGTGAAAGAAGCCTTAGTTGTTGCATGATACACTTTAAAATAATCATGACATGCGAGTTAGGCTTTCAGTGCAAATATCATATTTATAGATCTAATTTCATGAGATAATATCAAAGTTTTATTACACACAAATTGTGTAAGTATTTTTTGATTTCAGAAACATATTTTAAATTTGTCAAGTCGAAAAGTGTTTCTTGGCCATTTCACAGTGCAGTTGCTTAACAGATGGGTCGGGTTTAGGAGATACTGGTACATGCCGAAAAACCTAACTAAAAAAGGATTAAAAGTGGAAAACATTGTTCCCATGGTCTGCACGAATTCGATACGGGTGTAACTACTTACTGATATCGTCATTATTTTTTATTAGTCGTGCAGGAAATTCACAGCGTGATGTACAACTCTGCATGGTTTTGATGCGCTCAAATGATTACCTAATTGTCTGAAATTCTTTATCCCATATTTAGGAAACCACTTGTTTGCTGGATGTTCATTACGGTTGTTTATTAGCATAGCTTGTTCGTGACCCTGAGGAAATTCATATATCCTTGAAGATTTGAATGTATTTCACTTCAAGATAGAGTCAGTGATATTAGGGCTGAGCTGAGCAGACCATGAACACGATTTGATATCGTACATAAATGGATTGCCTAATGATAGTCAATATATTTCGCCAGACTTAGGTGGAGATGAAAGCCTACCAGTCAATTTTGAGATGTAGTCATAGGAATAAATGATTCAACCCTGTGATTAAATTTCTTGGTTACGTCAGATGTTCTGCTCGCTCAGAATTTGTTACCAACGCCTTTCACGTCAAACTAACACATATTTTATGTACTAGGCAATGAGTCTCACGTGGTGTAAGAACTTATGGTATTGCGTAACTCCCCAGCACGAAGTGGATCGCGTCAAGTTGGAGACCAGGACCAACTCCATAAAAGTCAACTGCTTAGTCCAATGATGCTCAACTCCACTTGTTACCGCTATGTGATCAACTGATGTTTACATCTCATAGTGGCAAATCTGAAGACAACATGGCAAAAATTGTAGGTCAGCCGTTTCTTGAGAAGTACAGATGAGAACCACCGGTCAATCGGTACCAATGTTTGGTTGTACACTTGCAAATTTATCAGCCAGATCTGAGTTAGGTAAAATTAAGACTGAATAATGCAAAAACACTGCCTTACAGAGTTGCGACGACGATTCGCGGTACAACACTGAAGCTTTTGGTAAACAGGATTCCAGTTAGAAGAAAAACTCTAATCAAGTATAATTTAACCCAAACATAAACATCAGTCTGTGTAAAAGTATCAGTACTCATAGCTGATGAATGACAAAAAACAAGGTAAGTGAGAGGGAGATTTTATTAAGTTAAAAAGTTATGGTATCTAAAGCAGTAAGCTAATTTGTATTGAATAAGCAAACCTTCGGTAGCATATCTCATTGTTGTTCCACATAAGCATGACTGTGTAGTGCAAAAATACTCCAGACATGATTAAAATGCCATTCTGTGAACTTATTTTATCGTCATTATGCAACGATCACTTTCGGAGCTAGTGAATAATTTATTATACACAAGATTAACTGTTTAAAGGGGTTCTAGTTTACATTGGAGGATTATTTCTGTACAGGAAATAGGCACTTAAAACTTTAGTGTAGACATATACCCCTCAAACAGACGGTAAGAAGTTAGCTTTCTGATTTGTTTAGCTTCAGTACTACTTCATAGCAAATGTGGTTTCTAGATTAAATATGTGCATATATGTTTGGTTACCGGTTTGCCTAGGTAAAAAATATTATGAAATAAAATAAACTAATAACGTTGGAAATACTGATATGTCTTAATCTCAACCAAAAGACACGTACAAATATACTCACTACGTAACGAGATTTTATTGTACTGCTTGGCTGTCCAAACGTAAGATCTTGCATCTGGGCTTAAGCTTATGATGCACTGCCTGAAAATCAATTATTAAAATCAGTAAGGAACAGCTCCCCTGCCTTTAGTTGTCATCTCTACTTACATTTAGTCATTTATTTCGAATTTGTTCGGTGAAAGCCCTACTTAGTTTGTAAATTTTTCTACTGTGTATAACTCTACGTTTCAAAATAACGAGAATCCATGATGGTCAATTATACTTCAGTCGACTAATTACTTGAAAATTTTCACCTGGCTTTTTCCCCTTATGCTCGTTTTCTGTTTACTTACAGTGCATATTTTAGAAAAACACTCATTTTAGACAGATAATGTGGGGATAAAAAAACCTTCAAGTACACTTATTAAAGTCAAAAACACTTTTACTGTGCGTAATACCAGTTTAAAAAGGCATAAGTTCTGAATTTTGCAATCTAACATTGCACAATATTTACAGAATAAATAAAATGAGAAAGCTGAGAAGCGCTTAGATGACAAAATTGCTTTCATCCTTCGAGCGTGTTGGGGCCTAGAAAATGATTGAAGTTATCGGTATGAAACTGCATAATTTGGTGGAGATGCATCCACTTTTTAACATTATCTTGTTCCTTAAATTATCATTATTTTTCGCTGGTTGTGTATCTATCTCAAGTAGTTTGCAAACAACTGTTTTAACGCTGTACCTTACTATTGTTGGTATTTCAGCATACTCTTCGAAATGATGGAGAATATTTGTAGCTCAGGTGGATGATGTTGGTTGTATTATGTTCTCTGAGCTGGGTTGTTTAATCGTGAAGCTTTCGTCATCTTACTAGAGGATATCCTCAACACTAACTTCAGTATTAAGTTCTGCTTTGTGCTAGTTTGAAATACATCAACGTGGGCTGGTGCAAGAGTCCTATGACATGTATGGTTTGTGTTTGCCTGCGTCTAATAATAAAATGATCATATCTGATTTCACTTTGTGTTCATTCCTGCTTCAAAGATAACCACTTCATTACTTTCTTAAAACTTCTACAGTAGTCCAAACATTAGATAATCAAAACCAAGTCATGTGGAAAATCTTCTAAAGCTAGTCAGGTATGTGTATTACACCTAGTCTAAGAATATCAACTGGCACGAATTCTTATTCCGGGAATTCATGCTAATTATCTTCAAAATAGTGTAGTACTGTTAACCTGAAGGTTATGCGTTGCTATATTTCATCTTTGGATCTCCATCAACAATGATGACTAAGTAGAACACCAAAAATATGGAGTTTGTTTATCAGTTCGTATTCCATTAAGTTTACCAAACATGAACTCTTTCCTTCTCTACCTCTTGTTAGCTGTTTCATACTTTCAACTACTTATTTTGACTTCAGTAGCTGAGTTGATTTGAATAATTTATTGCAGTTGTCGTCATGGCAAACGATTCATTACCTCTGTTTCACGCAACATGCTTAAGTGCGTTTAACTGTAATACGATTAGCACAGTAGTCTTATTGAATTTAAAACTTATCGAAAATACCTGTAAGATAATTTGTGCTTTTGACAGACTCAAGATCCATTCTCAATCTATTGTGACAGTAATTTCTTTCAGAATTTGAATAAGTTAGTTCAGAAAAAATCATTTATTTTGCCCTTTTCTGAAAACACTTATGGATTTGAATGTTGTCTGGAACCGTATACGTAAATATTGAACTATGTTTTGCTTTATTTCAGCCTACTTACTTCTTTGGGCTTCGAGAGGCTTGGTATAGAGTTAACTTAGATTTGTTTACCTTACTAAGGACTATTTTGAAGTTCATAGTACCAATCATAACATAAATATGCTTATGAGACCAGAATTTTATTAAAATTATGAAAATCGTTATTGAGATTTTGGCTTCCTTTCATCCTGAATAATTTTTCTTCCTCGAAGTATAATTAATCTTTGCACCGACTGTATCGACTACAAGCTTTATAAAGTATTTATCAAGTACCATTTCATCGTGTAATACACCAGGTATAACAATATGTTTACTATTTGTCCAATTTTTGCAAACACTTAAGGAAGCCATATTCACTGTACCATCACCTTCTTCATAGGTTAATATTGGTGAGTGATCAGGAAAGGCATTACGAAAATATCCGCTTGTTTTATAGATTAGTTGTTTTACACTTAACAAATTCGAACTATGCACGCATAGTATTTCAGGAACATTCTGTGGGTCTTTAATCATATCTGATTGGTGTTTCGATGAAATCATCATTTGATATCCTAAAGAGAGAAAAGAAAAGATAATACCAACGCAGTGTTAACAACCATACAAAGCTGTAGAAGGTAAAGCGTTAACTTCTAAGCCGGTGTGGCTAAATATTAATGTTAGTTGGATGGAGGCAATCTGCAGGAAGACCTAGGCCTTGATTTCATGTTTTTCAGCACTCACCAGCAAGATGTTTCTGCATCCTCAACGAAACTGTCGTCCTGAGCAAGATCCGAACCTAAGCCACCCGGCGTTGTAGTCAGAGATGTTATCGCTGAACTATCCCGGTCGCAACTGACATCCTGTCTGACTGGATCAGGCACATTGACTGGTCACTGGAGAGTTACCAACTTCATGTTGTCTAGTCCAAAGTGCTGATTGAATTCTATCAATTATTTTGTCATGTGTCTACCAGGCTCGTCGACTCAACATCGTGATGCACTTTGACAGGTGTCAGTTGAATGGAGGCAATCGTCAAGGAGACCTGGACTTAGGTTTCGTGCCTTTTGACACTCATCACGAAGGCATGTCTGCAACCTCCAAGGAACTGGTTTCCTGCCTGAGGTTCGAACCCACATCAGTCACAAGACCTTAAAGCTAGGGGGTTTGATTTTCGTTCGCATTCGAGCACAGTCTCTACTAGCAGGTCCCAGTCGAAGATGAAGCAACTACCAGAAGTTTTGCGATTTTCAGTGGTTTTCTTATGTGGCGTAATTATTTGATAAAGATTATTCCTAAATCAAACAAAATAGTTTTCTGTCTATAGTCTAGTACTTAAGGACGAAGTTTGCTGATCTTTTTATTTCCTTATACTTATTATTTCTTCTCTGGAAGTGTTTTCTACTTTCCTTATTCCTACGGTCAGATATGAATGAACACATAAAATACTGCACACTACCCTTCTGATAACAGTATTTTATCAAGAGTATGCGATCGCTTTTATGGATGTACAACAGAAGCTACAAATATTTAGAAACGGCTTCATCTATTTTTATGCACAATCGAATTCGTACAGGAATTCGGTTAGTACCTGGATGGCTTACTGGTAAAAATTCTTTGACTTGGTACCTGACAGAATGGATTTCAAATCCTACATATTTTTCAGTCATGGATATGCCATACTGATAAAGACAACATATACTAAGTCTAGGTAAAGTAGAGTCTCTGATCATTTGAATCCTATACAAAAGCATGTGGTTACTTGCAAGTTTCCCAATAGTGAAATTCTTTGCAATAAAGTCTCTGGGTGGCAATGACCCTAAAATGCTTCTTCTCCAGCTCTACAGTTATAAATCGTTCATAACCGAGAAACAATAGGTAACACAAAGTTTAAAAATATTTTAAATTTAGGTTAGTCTTCATTGTAATGTTCAGTGGTTTGACTCCGAAGATGACAAGATTGTCATCAGATCACAGACAATAGCATTCAAGCTTATTGAACGTGTCGCTTACTGGGACGTAATTCAGTTTTGCTGAGAAAATCCTCTCTAACAAGAGGCTGTAGGCAGGATTGAATCAATTATCATCTCACTTTTCTATCTATAGAGTCTATTTTACAAAAAAGAGCGAACATTGGCGCACGTTTCTACAGTGGCTCCTTCAGTTTCTCTGGTGATATTTTCATATCCTGTTAGTCGCTACATTATACTGAAGAACTGAGATCAAGGGATAGAACTTTCTATCATGTCCTATGGGAAGTCAGAGAAAAAAAACTGTAGTGACATAGAAAATCTACTTCAGTTGTCTGTATCCAATTGTTTGGTTCAGTTGAATAGATCACTTAGTGAAAAAATCCGTGTTAAAGACAACTTAAAATGCCTTTTTGCATGCATCTAATCGTAGCTATGCTTGACAGTAAGGAATGTTGTTTGAATTTATATGTATTTGTCGATCGGCATCAGAACTGCAATCTTGAATTGCTTTTCAATCACTTAGATTTCACTTCAGATTGACTGCGGTTCAAAGAATTAAGTATCCTCATGGCTTGTCGGCTGGATTTGCATTTAGCGTTTGTATGGGTAAATATGCTGTTAACATTAGAGAAATATTGAGTTCGGCAGATAACACCATACTATCAGCTTTTGCATACTTTGGAAAATCTTTATGTGATTCACGAAGAACAAATACCGTTACGTCTTTCATACCGTGTCAGTTTGATTTACAGTTTCGTAGTTTATAATTTCTCCGTAAAAAAGTATCTTACTAAATTTGTGAATATTTTCAAACAAAATCTTGAAAATGTAGTACCCATGAATCATATGACTCCCTAGAATTCTGATAGTAGTATCTACTTTATTTTATGCATCATAGTAACATACATTTAGAGTTGTGTACATGTAGAAGCAGAAATGGGTTTGTTGTTTTCTGTTAAGTAGCACTACCTCTTTCGGTCTTCATCATCATAATATTTTTCAACTTGTTTAAGTGAAACATTAGTATCTTACTAAGAATGCTTACCCATCTACTACATTTCTCTGCACTTCTATTTTAGTGACTGCAATATTGATACTAAGCTTATTGGAACAAATAAACATTTTGAGGTCTAAACCTTTTATTTTTCGAAAGAAAAATCAGTTTCATGAAAACCAGTTGTGTTCTTTGCAATTTAGAGAACCATTCTTGGTAACAATGCTTTCAGTCACTATTTATTAATAGCTGGAATTGGCTGTGGTTATACTGGGTCGAATTACTTGACCTCTGTTGGTAGATGGGCTCCTATGGGGTTTCCTAGACATTGCCTGAGTATTTATGATGTTTTAACGCACATGCTTGCTGGCAGAGGAATCCATGACGTACATATCATCTTATTTGGGACTTGTCAGCTGCATGTACCTACACCCCAGGAAGTGATGATGTTCTTATTCCGACTCGAACACAGAACTCTTCGCTTTAGACATCAGAGCGTTATCCAATAGGTCAGTGGCATAAGATAACCACCTCTTGTGCACCCCAAACAGCGAAGTCTACATTTTCTTATATGGACCACACCAACAGTCAGGGACTTCCTAAACTGATGCTACGTTTAAATCTGGCAACATCTGGCATTTATCCAACCTGAGCTTACTTCAGCTAGCACTTTAAAACGAGTTAGATGGCGACTAGGTATGAATAACACAAATTTAAGCCACCTGAGTAGAAGAAAGTCCACAACTTTATCCATTAACCTACCGAATCCGTCTAAAACTCTATGCCTGACTTCTGTGTTAATGACTTGCTAGTAACGCAATCCATCGCCTTTTCTGCAAAGGAAACGTAGGTCAAACACCCAGAAGTTTCTACTTTCATCCAGAGTTGTGAACCTCATTTAAGAGATTGATAACAGAACAAACTGCCGTAATTAATACTCCTCTCCTAATTGCAAATCGAATACCATGACAGCAACATAAATGCAGTATGTTGACAAAAGCCAACTGAGCCGTTTAAATGAGTACAGAAATCCCGACAGTCATTGGCCCATTAGGGCAAGGAGATTCCTAATTTTAAAGTAAAGACAAGAAGTGTCTTCTGTCTACTCGTAATCTTTAAAATCACGAAGAAGCTCACCACAAGGAACGTTAACTGTCTACATGCATACATTACCATTAGAAACCTTGATTTTATTTCTCCACAACTGTGTTCAACCTCGCCTGGTTAACTAGATCACTAGTTACTAGCCGGTTATAAGCACCGATAAACGGGGAAGGTTGTGCATACGGCTAGCAACCCTACCCCGTAAAACTAATCCAATCGCTGAAGAAACTTCAAAGCACAAAGAAAATACAATAAATAAAAATATACCTATTCCTCGCTGTGATCGGAGAGACGAAATGACGCCGGTTGCTGAAAGCCTTCAGGAAGCCAATCAACCGATGTATCTTCGCTTCTCTCGATGAAAGCGAAAGTAGGAATGGGGACATGGAATGTCTGCACCATGTTTGAAGTTGACTGTCTGACAAGGGTGCCCAGATTATCAGAGAGATGATAAGACATAGTTTAGAGGTGCTAGACAGGGAATCAGTGGAAGCAGGTGGAATGGAAGTGGACTCTCTCAACTGTCAACTGGAGAGTCAATAATCTACTCCGATATTCTCATCCAGACGACAAGTATGAATACACTGAGTTTTGAAGTGGCAATCGTACTGTCACCAAGAGCATTGAATTCTCTCTCTCTCTCTCTCATACAGTGGGAACCGATCTCCTCCTCCAGCTGGATCATGATAGCAAGATTCAACTCAAAAGGAAGCGAAGTCACAATTATTCAGTGCAGTGCTATGCTACGCACCTACAAATAATGCAGATGAAGAGAAGAAGGAGGAATTCTACAGACAACTGCAATCAACACTGGAAAAGACCCCAGTCCAGTTGGCGACATCAAAATTCTAATGGGTGGGGTGACATGAATACCTAACTGTGATGCAGTGTGTAAAAACACAAGGATACTCACAAAACGACATGGATTTGATTTCATCAGACAACAGGACACACCACACTAAAATTCAGATCGACTTCATCTCAATGTGAAGAAAGTGGAGATGCAGCCAGCCTGCTGGACACAAGATCAGGTGAAGAAGGGGAGTGAGCAGATGTAGGTGGTTTACACCACTCACTATCTAGTGTAAGGAACCTACCCTCAAAATCAAGTTGAAAGCCTTCAGAGAAGTTGGTGATGGGCCACAGTTGAAGTTGAACACCCAGAACAGGAACTGAACAGAAGTACAAAACTACAGAGGACATCTTCACGTAAGCTCTCAATACAAAATGAGAGAGACAAGCAACATCGCTGAAGAAACCTGAGTGGAATAACGCTGGAACTGTTTGAACACCATGTGTAAGGAAACCTGCATAACCATGTTAGGAAGGAAGAAGAAGGAAGACGAGACAAGGAATGGATGTCGATGGAGATATGGAAGTTGTTAGAGGAGGGAGAGGAAGATGGCGATGGTGAGTCAGAAGATGAACCAGTGCAGTGCAGTGCAGTGCAGTGCAGTGTAGTGCAGTGCTAGGATGAACAACGAAAAGAGGAACTGAATACAACCTGAAAAAGACTATACTGGATAAGGAAGTGAAGAAGAGTGCGTGGAAAGACAAAAGACAGTTCTACGACACACTTGGAAGTGAAGCAGAATAGGCAGCTGGTAGGAGAGACCTGACAATATTATATCAAATAACAATCTGAAAGGAGAAATCAGATGAAGGACATGAAAGTTAGTGAAGGGAACTTAGTTACCGCGGAAGAGGAGAAACAAAAGAAACGATGGATTGACCGCATCAAAAAACTCTTGAATCGACCACCACCACCACCTCCACCCCTATCTCATCCAGAAATGCCACCAGCAATCCAGCCACAAAACTACTAGTGAATACAGACACTCTGACAAAAGCAGAAGTGAAGTCATGGACGCCATTAGGCTGCTGAAATCCGGTAAAGCAGCAGGACCAAATGGAATTCCTCCAGAAGCACTGTGAAGTGACGCAGAGACACAGCGGATACACTCATACCACTATTACATTAGGTTTGGGAGGACGGAAGGAAAGGTACCTGCTTATTGATTGGAAGAAGGGTTACCTTGTGTACCTGCCGAAGAAGTCTTGGTGGTCTATGTCTTTGTGAGGACTACCACGGAATCATGCTTAACTCCTGTCCACCCAAAACAACCAAAATATTAAGCTGCATAATCCTAGTGAGACTGATAGATACTCTGCATTCAACTGGATTACGACCGTAACTGGCTGGCTGGCTGGCTGGCGTCAAGAAAAAACAAATCATGTGAGTATCAAATCGCGACTCTATGCTACGCATCATCATAGAATAGAACATAGAATGGCAGTCAACTCAACTCAACGTCAACTTCATCGATTTTGAAAAGGCCTTGAACAGCGTTGACTGAGAAGTAATTTGGCAGGCTGCTGCTACTGCTGCTGCTTCAACACTACTCTTTTTACTGCCACAAACCTCTATCAACCTCATTCATCAGCTATTTGCTATATGATGCTGCATGCTAAGTGATTGGCAATGAAAAGCCCACTGACGCCTTTGAAGTGAAGTGAAGACTGGGAACAGGAGTGAGACAAGGCTACCGCCTACTATCACCGGATTGTACTGGATCATGCAATGGACAACTGTGAGGAGCGAGAAGATCGGCATACGCTGGTTGGACCGATGAAAAGAGGCTAGAAGAAGATTTGGATTTCGCTGCCGCTGCCGCTGCCGCAGCCACCGCCGATGATGATGATCATAATGATGATTTATATCTAATGTCTTGTGGCACAAACTCGGAGATCTACAAGCGAAAGCCAACAAGTTGGCAGAAGAGGCGAGGTGAGGCAGCGAATACGGGACTTCCTCCAGGTGAATGTAGAGAAGACAGAGATGTTGAAGATATCCAATCAACCAACAACAACAACAAACACCAATCACCATGAATGAGAGAAATCTAGAGGACATAGTCTCTTTCACCTACCCACCTGCCTAGGAGGCAGCATCATTTCAAGTGCAGGCGGCGGCACGGGCACAGGCACAGGCACAGATGAAGACGTCAAAGCAAGCCAGGATCGGAAAGACAGTAAGACAGGCCTTCCTGAATTAACCTGAAATCAGTGTGGAGACCTACTGCACTGCACTCAGCATAAAGCGTGAACAACATGCGGATTTTCAAGACTAATGTCAGTCAAGTGAGTCAGTGCTACTATGTGATGGTTGAGAGACTTGGTGCGTTACGAAACGCATTTCCAACAAACTGCAGACATTCATCATGGACAGGTGCCCCGTACTGTGGCTTGATACTGAGTATCAGATGGATTGAGAGAATAATAAGAATGAGGACCAATGAACTGTGACTGACTGGCTGGCTGGAAATAGATTGGGTTGGATTGGATTGGATTGGATTGGATTCAGCATACACTGAGAAGACAATTTGGGGACATCACACGCCAGGCCAGGCCAGACTAGAGCAGGCCAGGTCGTCGAGTGGAATCGAAATGGGAAACGACGAGTTGGGGTTTCAAGTGGAGGGTGACATGGAGGCGATGGTGTGAGTAAGAAATGAAAGTTTCTGAGCGGTTGTGGATCCAGGTTGAAAAGATTGTGGAGAAGAGAGTGAAATGGTGATGTGCTACTGAAGTCGTATTTTCTACTAGGAACCCAAGGGGACAATTATTAATAAAATAACTGTGTTTCAGCTAATATGCATATCGAGGTACACTGTTTTTTGTGTGTAATTTTGGATGGTCTTCTATGTGTGACAGCAGAATATGCCAGTGCATCAGAAAAATAGTGTGTTGAAATATTTGACTGTAAATGGTTTTGAGCTGTAGGTGCAGTGCATCATGATCTCCCCTTACATATCTAAATCTTCAAACTGTAAACACGGACGGTAGAATTCAGTCTTCGATAGGAACCAGATATACGAAATTGGTCATTTTTAAATGACATATATGTATTTGATTTCATGTTTTTTGGGGTCAAAGAAATGATTATTTTAGGCAGTATAAATGCATAAACTATGCTTAAATTTATTTTTATCACTCATTCAGAAAGTTGGTGAACACAATTTATGATGATTATATGGAACTGAATCAAAAGGTAGGTGATAACTAACAAGGTGATTTCGCAGATTCCGAATGCTTCAAACTGCTGAATTCACGGCTGTGAAATCTTGTTTATCTTGAAGAGATACATATTCCTCCTCTTTAACAATGAACAACAAACAATTACACTATATCACTTTTATGTTTATGTATGAGCATTTGTACTTACCAATAGGAAAATTAATATCTTGAAATAATTCGTGATATAAGTTAGTGTATAATTTTTTGTAGGTGTGAAAATGACAGGTAGGTCCGGTGGCCATAGTTGTGGATTAGGCAGTAAGAATGATACTGACGTCAGGGTTCTGAAAAGTAGTCGATTTCTCATTGGATTGTGTATGAATATATCGAAATTAGTGCCTGATTAAAAAGTTGGGAAAAAAAGTGGAAAGAAATAACACATCATACTAGGGTGAAACTACCATTACTTTAATATTTATTCAATCATTCAAATCTGCATATACTTCTTTTACGTCTGTCTGGAATATGCAACTATGCAGTCTGTAGGTAGCATGTGTAAATTCTGAAATGTTATATGACATTTATTTTGCTCTCAAATTCAGTTTGGATAGGTTTGCATCGTGAACAAAATAAAATTGAAGGGAGTTTTACATGAGGGAGGAAACAGAATGTATCCTTTTACTTTCTTTGAAATTTTGTCAAATGGCGCTTTACTCAACTGCTTGTGATGATGCATGTAAGCCATTCAGTAGGAAGGGGATATCAAAGGATTTTTAATCCTAGGTTAACATCAGACAAAGAGTCACTGAAAACCGGAGAGCCCAGTGCATAGGTGTTTCGTTCTAGTTTGAAACTCATCACACGGTGAGCGACGAGTCTCAGTGGGAACTCTGTTACTTCAGCTGAAGAGCCTAAGGTAGGATCAAATTCACTCCCTTGATTGCTGTCAAACCGATGACATCAGACTGAAATTGTGACAATAACGCAGATAGCGATTGATCAATTTGGTCAGATAAAGTGGACGAAGAATCATAAAATCTGAATTATAGCTGCTAAATATCAGTCAAATTACCTTAAAATCTCATTTAATAACAAATTTAAATTCTACTGTTTACCTGTACCTAAATTTGGGTTATTTTCATTAAGAAATAGTACATAAATACCGTCTCAATGAATAATGAAAAGTTGACAAAAGACTACTGAGAGTAGAAAACCTTCTTTTCGACAAATCATTTCAGATGATATGGATTCGCCTTAATAGTTATAGTGTGTAAACATGCTCATAAATAGCCAGTTGGTGAGCACAAAATCAAAGGTACAATCGATTGTATAATAATACTGGGAATAATAAAATAAGAAAAAAGTGGAGTTCAATGGGAAATTTGAAATCAATAATCACAGAGTAAGGAAAACGGGATAAAAAACAGTATTACTGATAGGCATTAGTAAAATGAACGAGGTCATGGGAAGATTATAACCTAAGTGGAAGGAGGAACTGGGTATACCTTCTAAAATAAAAATTTGGTTTTAATGTGGAACCGAAACATCGTATCTTGAAGTTGTACGTAGTACTACCAAACCAATAAATATTTAGCCTACTTTGTTTAGCTATGCATCTACCATAACAAAAAAAATATGTAAGTTTTATACCATACTTTCATGTTAATTATAAAATTTGTAAGATTTTCAATGACCAGTTTACTGAGTGAAATCGAGAATTATAACTAATAATTTACATAGTTTGTCAAGGAAATGTCTGGAATAATGTCGAACTGTAACTCCCTGAACACTAACATTGGATTTTACTTGAACTGAAAGTCTATTTCAGATCATGAAAGAGAGAAACACTAAAACGATTTTCCTCTTTTCAGCACCGGCACCAACTTACTTCCTAATTAGTAAACCACAAAAGCTAAATTTTAGCTTTTGAATCCGCTTTCTAGATCCTAAAGGCTACTGAAAAAATGTTTTGTAGTCGAATGGGTGATGCCTGACATATGAGATATGCCTAATTCCCTGATCAGAGGCAGTTATCATTTTTCGCCACAAATAATCCAAATCTTAAGAAAAATCACATTATCTTACAATAGAAGAAATGAAGATGTCAATATCTTAAGCCTACCGAAAGTCAGTAAATAACACACTTGCTTCTGATTCGTCTTGTCAAACACAGCAAAATCTTTGGATCCTAGGGGCCATAATTTTTGTGTTGTAGAGGCCTCTGCTATGCTTAGGTGGTGAATCCTCACTCGCTTTAAAATGTACCATTTCACTTTGCAAATCACTTTGATTTTAGTGAAGCATATTCACCAGTAATAACCAGGTTTCCAAGAATTGAGGTGTGAATCTATTTGCCCTCTCCCTTTAGACAACCATACCGAATAGTGTCAAGAGATATATTTGGATAGAGCCCGTTTTACAAGGGCTATATAAACAACTCTACGGGAGCAGAAGACTTAGAAAACACAAATGGAAGTGGCTAAAGGCGGTTTTCCATCCTTCACACACCATCGAATCAGTTGTTAACCAGAGAAGGTAATCTGAAGTTGTGTGGAAAACAAGTATTCAGTGTCTCTACCATAGTACCTTTTCTAGCTTCAATGTTCATAAGTAGTGGCTTCTTTGCGACTATAGGTGCTCGTTCTCAGTGTTCTTGAGGCTTCATGTTTCTTCCATTGATTCTTTCTAATCCTTATTTTTTACTTAGTTCCTATAAATTTTAAATCTGGTGCACAGTCAGTGAGACAAATTTCTTTTTCTGCCTAGTAATACGAACATATTATTCATTCCACATTTGTTTTCTTCGAATTGACCATTTCAGATAAACCATCACTTCTTCTCAACAGAACATCCAGGAAGTGAAATTTTGAGTTGTTTATAGTTTCCATAGTGAATGCAACCTACTTATCACATTCACTGAACATCAGTAGTATGACTTCCTAGTTACTTTTCTTATCGTAAATGATGAAACTGGTTGACATTCTAGCGTAGTATAGTGTTCTCAAAACAAACCATGGAGCAGTATGCTAGAAAAGAGCTAATGGTAACCCCATCGCTACTTCTTTTGTCAATAAGGTTTATTGTTAAATATAAATTGTACACTAAAAGTGCATCATATGAGCGATTACTTCAGCAAGTGCTATAAAATTTCGAGACTGTGGACTTCAAAGTAATTACTTAAAAAGCAGATGGTTTCTGTCAAAGGGACGTTGGTAAAGATCAATGTAAAAACCTTATGTAACATACACTTTCCATATACATGGAAACCGTTGATGGAATTGACGAAGTTGAGCGAATCCAGCTCACTGTAATTATTGATCTGAATTTTAACTGTCTGAATAATTTCAGTTAACCATTTTACAGTCGTATGATATGGCTAGCTGTTGACACCAGGTATTAGACGAATAGGGAAATCTTTCTCTTAAGGGTTGGGGGTAACAAGTAGTTAAAGCATGGTGACTGAACGAGATGGTTTTAGGTGTTCACGTATGTAGATATTTTGGAACTGATAATTTCGGCGATATTTATCATCACGAATGCTCTAGAAAATCGGAGAAAGTATGGTTGCTTACGAAAAGAAGATACAACGACTGGCCATTGGAGAGTAATCAATTTAACGTTATCTAGTCCTCACTGTGCTGAGTAACGTGAGTCCAAATCTCTGACAGAACATCAGTCCTGTGAAAGTTGCAAACACCCTTGTTGAAAACTACCAACAAGTAAGAAAACTATGCGCCACCGCTGACTGTCTCTACCCACTCAACGAAAAAGAGAGCCTTTCCTTTCAAAAAGAATGGTGGATTATATATTGATACCTGTAACTTCATGGACTGAGTTGCTTTATCTGTATTGACATACAGGTTTCTGTGAGGATACCTAGATATTGGTTGACCTTTCACTATGTCCTAATGATGGATTATTATCCTTCAGCTAACAGGTTGGAGTTAACAAATTGCTGCTTCATGACTTCCTTGATCATGTGTTTGATCAGAACTTGGCAACAATTATGAAAACACGAACCAAGGATATTCTGCCAATCAATCACATAGTGAAGAGGGAAATAGTTTGTTTTAATATACTTTTCGCTTAGGTGAAAATGGTGAGAGTGAAATAGTACTACAAAACTCTTTTTTCTCTTTTAGTATGACTGTACAGTACAGTACAGTACAATCTTTGTAACATACGGTAGACGAAACAACGAAGGCAGACAGTGCTGAGAAGTCGTGAACTACGGTGGAAGGGTGGTTACGTAATTTTTGGTTTTCGGATTCTTGTGTATTTTGGCCCACAGTAGAACTATGTTCTAAACAACCATCGTTGAAAAGTAATACTTTTTTCAGGAAATAAGTTATAAAATGGCATGAGGTTAGCATGTTGCATAGTCAATACTTTTCACTATTAGATTCTTTGATTCACTTTGCACTTACATCTTGCAGCGAATTTAATTTCGTATAGGGATCTCCTAACTCAACTTGCCATATGATATGACATGATGATTCATCACATTATTTTTGTGTATATCGATAATTGTGTACACTTACAGTGCGCATGATTTTAATCAATTTGTCTTCCTAATCCAGGCTACATGAAGTATGTGATGTAACTTGATTAGTCTACAACAAGCGGACTGATAATCAGTGTGCATTTCAGTGCATTTGAATGTAAGGGTTATTTGACAATTTCCTATTCTACTGCACAATGTAGATGCATTACAGGATATGATGATGAATAAATTAAAACAGAATGAATACGACATCATTATAATTCGTTAGTCTACTTTCTCGTGCTTCCATTCAGCGTATTGATAGAAGAACAACAAGAGGCCTGAACAGGTGGTAAATTAAGGCTGGAGAAAGAAAGTATGATTGTCATAATTTGTTTTTGGAATTCGGAGCCCACTTCTATAGCCTATATTAATAAAAAGCTACGTCATAAGATTCTGTAATCATAAATATATCAAGAATAGAGCACTTCAGCCAATAAATCTTTTAAAACAATTTTTTATTTTAGTTATTTTCTCCAGGGAACTAAGCAATATAAGTTGTATCATCCTCACTACATCAGTGGATACCATTTTGTAAGCACATCAAGTATGTTAATAATCTACATTTAATGACACCCATGCTTCAGATATTTTAATATCTGAATTATAAATTGAATCGCTAATTTTTTAAACACAATATTCAATTGAAATTGACTTCCTCCTGTAAGAAATCTTTCTGTTTTAAGTAGGTGTAACCAAGACATACCATGACGTGTTTAAAATGTTAAATGAATACTTATGTCGTCTAAAGCGATCAAG